ACGATTCCCCATGTTGCAGGTAGCTGCCCTCCCACCCTGCTGGCTCCCTTGGGTGGTTGCGCTGTTCAGGGCGCTTGGGAGTTGTGGCCCAAAACATCTGGGCAGAATGGGCACCCGGTTGGAGAAGATTGACGGGGTGAATTTGTGGCAGAGGCAAGGTTTGCACCCCAATGGCAAGAACGGCCCGTGAGTAGACACTGGGAGAAAGCCGGCAGTGGAAGAAGGGACATCGTTAGCCAGGACAAAACGAGGCTGAATGTCATGGAGAGAAAACATCTTTCCTGGCATTTCGTCCCGGCCCTACCATTGGCAGGTGGAACGTTTGTCCGGATCACGAGATCAGCAGTCGTTCGCAGCCAGCTCCTCCGCGGCTTGGCCAGGACAGTTGGGTGGGAAGAGGAAACGCTTAACGGGTACAACCGAGTCTCCAAATTAAGAGCAGAAGCCTGGGGGGAGAGGCAGAACCCCGAAGATGGAGTGGGGGGGGAAAGAGTGAGCTCAGGCAGCGCTGAGATGCTGCATTTGCTGCCCCGGCTCTCCCCCGGTGGCTTTGCGGTATAATCTGGGGCTCGTTCCAGCTCCGCCGCAGCTGGAGGCAGCAGGTTTGTCAATGGCATTTGCTGCCGAGCGGCTGACATTGAACACAGCCAGTCAGAACATCTCGCTGGCAGCAGGAGCAGAGGCACCATCAGCAGCGAGCAGGAGGGAGGTGTCGAAGCGAAAGTGTCAGCCAGACAGCTGCCGCCGCCTCCTCCTCCTTTCTTCCTTCTGGGGGGGGGGGTGTTTCCACCCCCCCTGTTTTGTTTGTCAATCAAACAGATTGCTTCTCTCTCTCTCTCTCTCTCTCTTCCTCCCTTGCCTTCCCCTTCTCCTTCCTGCAGGCCAATTGTTTCTGCTCCTGGAAGATAAGGGCTCAACGCTGGCTAGATTTGTATAGCTTAGCTGCATCTTGGAGAGATGTCGAAAAGCAAGGAATTGTGTGTTTTGGTGGCTTCCCTCTGTCTCTCCCCCTCCCGCTTCCCTGCCCTCCTTCGCAGGCACCCCCAACCCGTCCCCCTCCTCCTCTTCCCCATCCTGATCTTTTGCCTTGAGCTACTTTAGCCTCACAGCTCTCTTGCTATTTAATCTCCATCTCTCCCTCTGGGCCCCGGGAGGGCTCTGTCGCATCCTTCTCTTCGCACCAGCTGCCTGGAGAGAGGAGTTCTTCTGACATCCCCTCGGCCCCTTGGTACCTCTTTCCCCCTCCCTCCCTCCCTCTCTTCCCTTTCCTCACTTCTCCTTTCATAGTCCAAAGGAACACTTGAAGGCAGAATCGTGAGGCAGGAATGAAAGCAAAGAGAAGGACAGAGCCTGTCTTAGGTACCAGGTTCAATCCGCCCACGTTCCCAGGTAGGGCTGCGGAAAGACCTTGGTCCCTGAGAACCTCTGCCAATCAGCAGACCAGTGGTCCATGTTTGTTATAAGACGGGTTCCTCATGTTCCCACATCTCTGGGGAAGCATCGCAGCTCTGCAGGTTCAATTCTCGGCGTAGGGTTAGGAGAGGCACCCACCCACCCATTCAAAACCCTGGAAGCCATTGCTAGTTAGGGTCTGTTCACAATTCCATTTGCCCTGCCGCTTTCCCATGGGAAAACCTGCTCCCAATGCTGAAACGTCAGTTGGGTTTGCTGGGGGTTGATTTCTGATCCAGTTCGAAGGTAAAAAGCAGGGGCGAATGGAAAATCACTCGGACCAGCGCCCCAAAAGCATGAGACAAGCAGAAAGCTTCTCAGACCTGTGTTTTTAGGCACTGGGCAACCAGAATAGTGGGTGGGTCCTTAGTGTGAACACTACTGTACGCTTGTGAAACATGGGCCACTTATAAACGCCAACTCCAACTCCTCGAAAGATTCCATCAACGGTGTCTCCGAAAAATTCTACACATCACTTGGGAAGTCAGGTGAGCTACTGCAAAGCAGAGATCGCCAGTGTCGAAGCAATGATTCTTCAACATCAACTTTGTTGGACTGGTCTTGTTGTGCCGATGCCTGATGATCGTCTTCCAAAGCAACTACTCTATTCCAAACTTAAAAATGGAAAGCGTAATGCTGGTGGTCATCAAAAGAGGTTTAAAGACTCTCTCAAGGCAAATCTAAAAATTGTAGTATAAACACCCACAACTAGGAAACGCTGGCCTGTGAGCGCTCCAGTTGGAGAACAGCCTTTACCAAAGGAGTCATGGGCTTTGAAGACGCTTGAACTCAGGATGCAAGGGAGAAACGTGCTCAGAGGAAGGCATGCTTGACAAACCCTCACCATGATCAACTCCCAACTGGAAACCTATGTCCCCACTGTGGAAGGACATGTGGATCCAGAATTGGCCTCCACAGTCACTTATGGATTCATTGTTAAAACCGTGCTTATGGAAAACAATCTTACTTGGCTGCGAGGGATCGCCAAAGAAGACATCTGAGCTAGATGAAGCAGCAGCCTGACTCAGGGCAACGCAGTTCCATACGCTCAAATACCAAATCCAGGAGACCAACCAGACTCCAATGTGTGCATCTCTTTGCCACTCTGCTCATGGTAACTGGCTGCCCTTGCCCCCATCCACCATACCTTCAGGAGGGCCCATAACTCGGTGGAAGGGGCACATCCTTGCCATGCTAAAATTCTCAGGGTCAATCCTGGCATTCCCAGTTGGAAGGGTCAAGGTAGCAGGTCATGGGAAAGACTTCCTAGAATGAGAACTGTAGAGCTGGAAAGTCTAGAGGGACAAATGCAACACGACTTCCTAAGTTACCAAAGACTATTCCAGGAAGCCCTAACCATGACCAAGGTGGCAACTCACATGAGCGTGGCACCTTGAGACCCTTTCCCCCCAGCCCAGTTTGCCATGAGCCCCATGGCAGGAGGGGAAGGCCAGAGGGGAAGGAGGGGTGGAAAAAGATTGGGGAACTGGGAGGAGCCCAACCCAGGAGAGGAGACCCGGAGGAGTGGGAAGAGATCAGGACCTCCTCTCTCATCGCACTAGAACTCCTGGAAGCTGAATGTTGGAAGATTCAGGACAGGTAAAAGAAAGCAGCCTGTTCCCAAAATGCCTAGTGAAACTTTGGAACTCACTGCACCAGGAGGCAATGATGCCCACTGCCGTAGACTGGCTGGACGCAGAGGAATGGTGGGAGGAACCAGCTGGGGAACCACCACCACCCCAAGGGGAGAAGACTCAGAGCCCGGGGAGTGGTGGTGGGACAACGATGAGAAGTCAGAGAGAGGAGAGGGAGAAGAAGAGGTGTTGGAAGATGAAGGGGTAACAAGGCTTTTATGCAATCCTACTTGGAGTAGGGGCTTGAACCTGCAACTTTCCACATGCAGCGCAGCTGCTCTCACACTGAAGGCCCAAGAACCAATGGGATTTCTCCTCTGACAGAAAGATCCTTCCTGCGGACTGGCTGGGTTTTGCATTAATTCTCCAGCCCTCGGGAGCAGAGGAAAAGCAGCTCTCTCCTTTAACTCTGGAGCATGGCACCAAGTTAGGGACAACGCAGCTCCTGTCTTGTGCACCGGCTCCTGTACGAAGGGCAAGATCCAGTCAATTAATTGTGCTCGGGGTGTGTGGGGAGAGCGAAAGCAGGGGGGAAAGTCTGTCTTTATTGCCCTTTCATGCCTCCGGTATAGATTTTCTCTGCTCGTCTCAAAGGGAGAATAAAACCCGGCTTGGCCTTTTTACTTTTACTTTTCAAAAGCCTCCCCTTCGCCCCAGTCCGTCTGATTTTCTGCAATCTGCTGTGTTTTGCTGTGCAGAGATGTGCGGGTTTTTTTTTTTTTTTAAAGAAGGACACAGGTGTCATAAAGGCTCTGGGAACGGCTTCTGCTCTGAGCAAGAGCTGTGAGAGCCCCAGCCTTGGAGACCAACACCTGAAATGGGTGCAGTCAAGGTCACAGACGCCGGCCTATTTGGCAAAGTGGCGCAAACCAAAGAGGCCTCTGCGCCCGACAAAAGCAATGTCTCCCGGCAGAAAACAACCCAGGCCGCCTGACTGAAAGCCGTTTCGTGACGGTGGTGGCTGCTAACGTGGGTCGGCCCAGGCTGCGTGGACTACAACTCCCAGCAGGCCATGTGCCATCTTGATTTGAGCAGCTTCAGCAGCTGCCGAAATCAAGATGGCACATGGCCTGCTGGGACTTGCAGTCTCCGAGAGTCGGGGCCTTCCACATCGAGATGGGTCCGCTTCCGTGCAAACAAAATGGCTGACTGGCAGGGTCCGATCGGGGCCTTAAACTTAGCCGGTCGGCTTGTTTCGACACCGACAAAAGCAATTAAAAAAAGAGATTCGCCGGTATTGTTTCAGCTGGCATTGATTTTCACCAGGAGATATCTGGAGAACGGCTTAAACGTAAAAGGAGTCGTACCGCCTAACATCTGAAAGCTGAAAAACAGACACACTCGCTTGGCTTGAGTGTTTTTTCAACTGTTTTCCAGGGACCTTGGGATTCCTTGAAATCTGCTCCTCCAGAGCAAGGTCAACAACAGCAGACTCGCTTCCATCGCAGGTAGCCAGTCCACAGCTATTGATCCACCGCTGAAATGGAGGAGGTGCATGCCAGGGTGCACTCTCGAGGCCAGACAGCACGTGACATTAATTGCATGGAAGCAATTAGCATAGACATTAAAAGAAAAATAGCCACCAGAGAGACTTGTTAGGACGGAGGGGTGGGGTTGATTCTTTGCCCCTGGGATATGGCTCTATTAAAACATCCACTGCGCCACCCACACAATAGCTCCCTCCAGACCTATGTCACGTTTGAATCTTCTGCAAGCCACCTTGGAGATCACTGGATCGAAAGGCGGAGTATAGATCTCCCAAGCAAATAAATGCAGCTTAAAAAGCATGAAGTGGGAGGCATGAAAGGGAGACGTCTCCTCAGCAGAGATATCAATGCGGTTTTGAGTCGATTTATTATATTTCTTTGCCGCTTTCCCTTCAAATGAATCGCAAAGCGGCTTTCAAACAATAGAGCCATCACAAATATAGAAGCATACGTAGGATGATGAACAAACCATCAGTAAAGCGATCACAAACATCGGAAGGGATTTGCCAAAGGTATAGAGTCTGAAAATCGCTGCAGTAGGAGAACAAGGAATTTCACCATTAGACGTGGATCTCAATTAGCAAAATACAGAATTCAGGTTGAGTATCATGGTTCCTGCTTTGCTGAATCCTGCTGAATCTGGCAGTTGTAACACAGTCAGCTTAAAAAAAGAGAAAAATCTGTTGAAAACAACCACAGCAGGCTAGGAAATTTTCATTGTTGTCATGTTGAGAGGCATTGGATATTCTCACAAAAATCTGCATTTTTGTATATTATTATTATTTAGCAGCATTTTCACAGTCTTATTCCTATCCATCTACATGTCCCCAGTGTTTTCTTTAGCCAGTCCTTGCCATCTCAAGTCCTACAATACAGGGTGCAAACGAGAACAAAAGATATGCATAGCTGAGAACAGTAAAACGGCAGTGCAACTTCTATACTGCAAAACCCATCGTGCACCGCAACAGCCAGCTAGAAAGCATAACAAGGACGACTGCACTTAGTAAGGCTACAAACCCTATGATGCACCGACCTGCAAGTGAAAGAACATGCAGAGAAACATCCAGGGCCTTGAGTTAACGCAAATAGCTGAAAACAAGGTAAAACCAGACACCCTGCGGGAACCAGCCGAACGGAAATCTGCACAAGTCATCAACTTAGCAAACACGGGAGAAACAGGGACACAGACATAACCAGCAGGAATTAAAATTGGGCGAGAGATTTTCTGCAGCCATCAACTGCCTTTCTACCTCCACCACCACCTGCCCTCCCTGGCAAGAGTTTGCCAGGCGGACCCCATGATTCTCAAAGCAATTAAACCAGCTATGTAATCAACGAAGACCACCAAGCGAAGACCCTTAGGCAGGTAGTACCTTGGCTTTGTTGCAACTGCCTCTGCTACACATGGATGGACCTTCTGTAAAACTCAGGCTGAAGATATCAATGTGAGCTCAATAGGATAGGGGGAAGTCCGGATGTAAGAAAACGAAGGAATGCTTAGAAATGCAGAATGGCAACTCTATAATGGGAGCTCTTGAGGTCTGGCAAGACGTGGATATAATCAGATAGGATCTAAGTGCTTGCTATCTTGAGAGAAGACACTCATGTCTGCAAAGAACCTTAGTAGGGCATTAATAAAGGTCCAGTGCCGAGGGCCTTCTGGCCCTTGCTGCGAGAAGCCAAGTTACAGGGAACAAGGCAGAGGGCCTTCTCGGTAGTGGCACCCACCCTGTGGAACGCCCTCCCACCAGATGTCAAAGAGAAAAACAACTACCAGACTTTTAGAAGACATCTGAAGGCAGTCCTGTTTAGGGAAGCTTTTAATGTTTAATAGATTATTGTATTTTAATATACTGTTGGAAGCCCCCAAGAGTGGCTGGGGAAGCCCAGCCAGATGGGCAGGGTATAAATTTATTATTATTATTACTATTACTATTACTATTGGAGGCCGGACATCTGCAGGCACGCTTCCCACCAAGCGTGGAAAGGAATAGCCAACATGGTACCCTTGCGATGTTGCTGGATTTAAACTCCCAACATGGCCAAGGGATCATGAGTGATGGGAGTTGGGAGTTCAACAAAATCTGGAGGAAGACACTAGGCTGCGGAAGGCTGATCAGTGGAGGCTGGTCTATTGGGACAAAGACAGCCCTGCCCCTCCAATCTCAGTCTGGCCTTCAGCCACCTTCCTGCTTTCTGAATTGCATCCAATCTACGGGGTAGCCCTGACAGCCAGCTTCCCCTTATTTCCTTGTTCTGGCATTGCCCCTTGCAGAACTCAGCAGCGAGCAAGAAGGGGGCCAAGCTAGAATCAGTGGGCTCCAGAGCTCTGAATGGCATGGGCTCCACCAGTCCTAGAATCAGAGTTGGAAGAGAAGCATGAGGGTCATCTGGCCCAACCCACTGCAATGCAGGAATCTTTTGCCCAACGAGATTAAGAGTGGTCACCACTAAGGCTGGTGCGTGTCTCCAGGAGGATGGAGGATCCCAAACACTTTTACATCACCTAGTAGGATTTTTATTTCCTAGGCTAGTTTCGGCTTAAGTTGCTCAGTATTCACCATCCAAGCCAGCTCAGGTAAGACGAATGTCTCAATTTATATTGGCGCATCATTTCTGTCTCTTATTCTATACAGTGGTACCTTGGGTTATATACGTTTCAGGTTACAGACTCCGCTAACTCAGAAATAGTACCTCGGGTTAAGAACTTTGCTTCAGGATGAGAACAGAAATCGTGTGGTGGCGGCACAGCGGGAGGCCCCATTAGCTAAAGTGGAACCTCAGGCTAAGAACAGTTTCAGGTTAAGAACGGACCTCCAGAACGAATTAAGTTCTTAACCCGAGGTACCAGTGTACCTTGCTTTTCGAACAGCTTAGTTCTCGAACGTTTTGGCTTCCGAACTCCGCAAACCCAGAAGTGACTGTTCCGGTTGGCGAACGTGCTTTGGATCCCAAATGTCTGACAGGGCTTCCGATTGGCTGCAGGAGCTTCCTGCAACCAATCAGAAGCCACACATTGGCTTCCGGACATTTTGGAAGGCGAACGGACTTCCAGAACGGATTCCGTTTGACTTCCAAGGTACGACTGTGTATTGTTTGTTTGATTTGCATATGGCCTGATGAAATACCCTGCTGCTGCACTTTTCGGTGATTAGTTTTTATTTTATTTTATTTTGAAGCAACCATATATTGAACCAGATCTTTCTTCCGCCAAGCCCAGAATTCCCTGCTCTTAATTGGCAATGGCTTTCAGGGACTTGCGAGCCGCCTTTCCTAGCCCAGGACCCTTTTAATTACAGGTGCTCAGGGCTGAATCTGGGACCCTCTGTATGGGAAGCATGTATGATGACAACCGAGCGATGGTCCGTCGTCTTATTGCTTTTCAATGGCAGCATCAGCAATATTATTGTGCGTTGCCTAGACAGTGCTAAAAGCCTGCCCGCTCTCTGCCTCGCCACCTTTTGCGATGCAGCCTGGCACTTCTAGGTCTCTTCCGGAGCAAGATCAGGCTGCTCCGCCGTGCCCTGCTGAGAGAACCCGATGCCTTGCTGCTTGCATGCTGTGTGCGCAGCGCCTGCAGAGAGAGGGAGAATGTCTGGTGAGCTCCTCTCTCTCCGCTGGTGCAGCCTGCGCACGTAGGTCAGACAGCCTGTGCAAGGGAGGACGAGGGCAGCGAGCGGCAAACAGAAGGGACCTGGAATGAACAGCGCTATCGGAGGCCATGCGGCCTGCATGGTTGCAGACATCTTGCTTTATATACTGCATACTCTAGTTATCTCTCTGTTGGACTACTGCAATGCTCTCTACGTGGGGCTACCTTTGAAGGTGACTCAGAAACTACAACTAATCCAGAATGCAGCAGCTAGACTGGTGACTGGGAGCGGCCGCCGAGACCACATAACACCGGTCTTGAAAGACCTACATTGGCTCCCAGTATGTTTCCAAGCACAATTCAAAGTGTTGGTGTTGACCTTTAAAGCCCTAAACAGCCTCGGTCCAGTATACCTGAAGGAGCGTCTCCACCCCCATCATTCTGCCTGGACACTGAGGTCCAGTACTGAAGGCCTTCTGGCGGTTCCCTCACTGCGAGAAGCCAAGTTACAGGGAACCAGACAGAGGGCTTTCTTGGTAGTGGCACCCGCCCTGTGGAATGCCCTCCCATCAGATGTCAAAGAGAACAACAACTACCAGACTTTTAGAAAACATCTGAAGGCAGCCCAGTTTAGGGAAGCTTTTAATGTTTAATAGACTATTGTATTTTAATATTCTATTGGAAGCCACCCAGAGTGGCTAGAGAAACCCAGCCGGATGGGTGGGGTATAAATAAATCATCATCATCATCATCATCATTGCAAATGATAACAAAAACAAAAACAAAGCCTCAAAAGAGGTTTACTGGGAAAAATTAAGCAGTAAGGCTACCGGGAAAAACAGTTCATAGAATTCCATAGAGTTGGAAGGGACCCCCAAATGTCATCTATTCCAACCCCCTGCAATGCAGGAGTCTCAACTAAAGCATCCATGACAGACGGCCACCCAACCTCTGCTTGGAAACCTCCAAGGAAGGAGAGTCCACAACCTCCCAAGGGAGACCGTTCTATGGTCGAACAGCTTTGTCAGAAAGTTTTTAAGCAACTTTTGAAAAGCATTCAGAATCAGTGATAAGCTAAACACAGATCCGAGCACAGGTCAGTGTTCTAGATATCTGGGTAAAGGTAAAGGTACCCCTGACCGTAAGGTCCAGTCGTGGACGACTCTGGTGTTGCGCGCTCATCTTGCTCTATAGGCCAAGGGAGCCGACGTTTGTCCGCAGTCAGTTTTCCTGGGTCATGTGGCCAGCATGACTAAGCCGCTTCTGGAGAACCAGAGCAGCACACGGAAACGCTGTTTACCTTCCCGCCAGAGCGGTACCTATTTATCTACTTGCACTTGACGTGCTTTCGAACTGCTAGGTTGGCGGGAGCAAGGACCGAGCAACGGGAGCTCACCCCGTCGTGGGGATTTGAACTGCCGACCTTCTGATCAGCAAGCCCTAGGCTCTGTGGTTTAGACCACAGCGCCACCCATGTCTGGGTAGGTTTGTCCAAAGAAAAATGTTTTCAGCAGGCAGTGAAGGCGCTTGCCTGATATCAAGAGCCAGGGAGTTCCACAGTGTAGGCAGACCATTAGGGGGCTGGAACAAAGAAGCTGCCTTATACCAGGTTAAACTATTGGTTCATCTTGCCCTGTAAGGTAAAGGACCCCTGGATGGTTAAGTCCAGTCAAAGGCGACTATGGGGTTGCTGCACTCATCTTGCTTTCAGGCCGAGGGAGCCAACATTTGTCCACAGACAGCTTTCCAGGTCATGTGGCCAGCAGGACTAAACTGCTTCTGGCATAATGGGACACTGTGACAGAAACCAGAGCGCACGGAAACGCAGTTTACCTTCCCGCCACAGTGGTACCTATTTATCTACTTGCTTTCGAACTACTAGGTTGGCAGGAGCTGGGACAGAGCAATGGGAACTCACCACCGTCACAGGGATTTGAACCGCCGACCTTCTGAACGGCAAGCCCAAGAGGCAAGGTGGTTTAGACCACAGCACCACTGACGTCTATCCCTGTACCGCCTACCCTGACTGGCAGCAGCTTCCCAGTGTCTCAGGCAGAGTAGGGTCTTCCCTGCTGTTTGACCCCTTGCAAAACATAGGCTCAGAACTGACCTACAGTCCCTCCTTAAGGAAGGCGA